TGTGTGTGTGAGTGTGTGTGTGTGTTTGTGTGTGTATGTTTGTGTGTGTGGCTGTGTGTAACCTAATATATTTGAAAGTGTCAGGGGAAACCCAACCAAGTGACCATCATCCTACCACGACTTCGCCTACGTCAAACATTTGTCTGATGGTCTTGGTTTATTCTGCTTTGGTTCTACTTGATTTACTTTATAAAGCTACGGTTTGTGAATGACACATTTCGTCTTTTACTCTGTCCCCGTGGTTTTATGCACCCCGAATAATTTAGCAAAATTTGATCATTTTTTGCATAATTTCTGAATATTTTCCTTTATCATTCTTTGTAAAAATTAACAGAATCGCATAATTTTACATTTTTGGGCTCAGTTTGCATAATTTCAGAATTTTTCTTGCATAAAGCGACGGCGTCAGTTTACTTGATGGATTTCTCAGGCATATTCTACAGGCACTGGTGTAAATTAAGAGCTAGTACCCTAACTTTTGGCGATAAATAACTTACCCTATTTTCACGAAACTTATCGGCTTGGTGTGTTCTTATCGTAGCCAACCGAACAAGTCGAACGAGAAGATGTTTTAGAAAAGATCAAGAGCTATAAAACTGAACCACCACAATGTAAATGTGAGGCAGCGTGGTGGAATCAGGCTCTCGTTAATTTTTGGGCATGTAGAGTTATTGGTATCATCTTAAAGCTTGTTTACTTGTCTTTATATTGATGAAAAAAAATATAATTTATCTTGAATACAAATCGAGATATTTGCGAAAGAAGGAGGTGGGGTTCACCTATTTTCAGAGGTAAAATTAGTGAGAAAATGGCCGCCAAAGATTTGTTATTTCCTAAGCTAAAGAGTCCGTGGTAACTAAAAATTTACATTTTTTTGTATCTTTAATCAACGTTTTTCAGAAAAATCCACACAAAAATGAGTACTTTAATATGCAAGAAAGATGTTGAGCCAAAAAACAAAAATTCGATAAAAATTCACAAACCTGCGGAAAAATGCAAGTTTCTTCACTTTGATTATTTTGACGAGAGCCTGATTCCACCACGCTGCCTCACAAATGTTAATGTCCCTTTAACCTGTTCACTGCTGTACAGAACACTAACACAGGACTGTAACTGTAAGTTTTCCGTCTTCAAATAGCCCGACAAAATAACTCTGGTGACTTCTGTGTTGGTTGAAGAAGGGGCGAGGGATAACTTGCAGGTAACGTTTGCGAATTTTCTCAATGTCTAGATACTGCGGTTTTTTATGGTTGCGTCTTGTGGTTTTAGAGAAACGAATCTGCCTCAGTGGTGGATCCGTTAAACCTGCAAAATCTCCCCCTACCTTTTGTCTCGGCAGGGGAGCCCATCGGAATTTCAACTATCGACCCGTAGTAAACGATACATTTCCAAAAAAGCAAGAACAGACAGATATAGAAATTCATT